AATACTCAAACATTAATTGCTGCAAGCAATGGACGAAAAGTTCCTGCATTAACAATATTTACTTATGCTTTACAATATTTTAAAGAACATGCTTTACGTGAACTTAGTGATCAATCAGGTACAAGATTTGTTAATGAAGATGTTCGATGGGTTATTACTGTACCTGCTATATGGAAACAATCAGCTAAACAATTTATGCGAGAAGCAGCTTATCAAGTTTGTTGTTTAATTAATTATCAAAAAAATAATAATAATAATAACGAAGTTGATTAATATTCTATTTTCTTAGGCTGGTATTGCATCAAGAGAATTTCCTGATCAATTACTTATTGCTTTAGAACCAGAAGCAGCATCAATATATATACGTAAACTTCGAATGCATCAATTTATTCCTGATGAAACTCCAACATATTCTCGTAATTCAGTACGACGTGAACATGGTCCATTATCATCTTCATTTTCCAATCAATCATCACCAATACTTTTCGATTCTGATAAATGTTAGTATTTAAAGATAAGAGAAAGAATATATTAGATAGTTGATGATATTTCATCTTTCTATCAAAAAAAAAAGAACATACATACACACTAAAGAAAGATGAAAGGTAAAGAAAAACATAGACTAAATACTATTCTATATACAAACGAGTAATTAACAGAAGAAACATGAAAAATTCTTTATAAGAATAACTAAGACTATAAAAATGTAATAGAAGAATTTTAATAAATATGAAAAGATATTCTGAGTTTTAAGAAATTCTCTTTTCGAATACCGTCGTTTATCAATCAAGTCCTAAATTTTCAGACAAATTTTGAAACTTCCATAATAAACATTATCTCAATAAGGCTTGTAGAGGATATTGAGTAAGATGTCTCATATAGCTAAAAATTTCTTTTACAAAACTAGACATCACTTAGGTATCCTAATTTTTTTTTATCTCGTTCTATTCGAATAAAAACACCAAAAAATTCTGAGACAACTCTCAAAAATTTGATGTTTTCTCGAGTGAAACTGTTTTCTTTTTTTGAAAATACTGGATAAAACTTTGTACACATGGTTGAATTCATGTGATAATACCATTTTACAATCCTTGAAATCAATGTCAATGATAGTCATAAATATTCATCGATCGTTGTTTTTATTTAATTAGTATCAATCGATCAAAACGAATATAATACAAGTAAACAAACATTTGAAGTCATTCTTGATCGTGGTACACGTTATATTGTTGTTGATTGTGGTGGTGGTACAGTAGATATGACTGTACATGAATTAGATAATAAATTGGGAACTTTAAAAGAATTATATAAAGCAACTGGTGGACCCTATGGTTCAGTTGGTATGTTTGTTTAATAGAAGTAATACTTTTTGTTTTGTAATTATAAGAAAATGTTTTTGTAGGTGTTGATCAAGAATTTGAAAAATTAATGACTATAATATTTGGTAAAGAATTAATGGAAGATTTTAAAGCAAAACGACCAGCTGGTTATGTTGATTTAATGATTGCATTTGAAGCACGAAAACGTACAGCTAGTCCATTTAAAAATAATCCATTAAATATTTCATTACCATTTTCATTTATTGATTATTATAAGAAAAAAAAGGTAAAATTACTTTCAATTATTTAAATCTTTTTTTTATGAACTTATAGTTAATAAGTATATTGAATGTTATCAAAACTTGTTAAGCTAAATGATGATAACTGTGAGTTATCAATATCTGCTGAGAAGAAAACTTTAACTATTACTCATTTGGTTTCGTAGGTAGTGAAGGTCTTAGTCTTGTAAATGATTACATATTTCAAAAACTTTTATTGATTTTATCCTATAGTTATATTTGCTACAAGAAAACTCTTCGAACAAGAATTTTCTTGAATTGTTCTAAAGGTTGCGTTGAGTCGTATGTTAAATGGTACATCTTCGTCATTGTATTTATTTTTGAAACATTTTTGTTTAAAGGCGACAAAATTCGTAGGCTTGTGAAGGATGAATTTAGTGTATGCTTTTCGAAAGATTATCTTCGGCCTTATAACGAGAGACTAAATGAATGGTCTTTTTTAGAAAGTGTTAGGAAATTTAACAATATTGAAATGTTTGATAAATTAAAAGATCTTGCTTTCAGTTGTTTTGTACATAAGTTGCTACTGAATCGTATTCTGCTTCTTGTACAGCAAACAAGAACTTTACTGAGCAGTTCTTAACTCTTTCAAGGTTGAGATAGTTGTATTGTTCATATTGAACAGTGATCAAGGTTTGATAGACATTTTAGTGTAAAGGTATTTCTTTGTTATGAAATTTGAAAAAAAAGTATTAACAATACTTTTACGATAATAGAAGATCAAGGATTTTCGAAGGGAAGGCAATGATTATTCGCTAAATATATTTTTTTAATTAGAAAAATCCTTGAAGAAGGAAGATCGTCCTTTCCAGTAAATCTATCACTCCGCTCTTGTTTTTTTTTGCCTTTTCATTACAGTTTGAAATTTTTTTTTATAGGGTTCAACAGTTGAATCTGCTATTCGTCGTTATAATGATCCGGATATAAAATGGTCATCACAAGGCATGATGAGACTAACACCAGAAGCTATGAAACGTCTTTTTCATCCGACAGTTGAAAAAATTAAAGATGCTATCGGTGATGTATTAAATAGTCCTGATGTTAAAGGTAAGAAAAATTAAAGAATAATAATAATAATAATTATAAATTAGTGAAAAGAAAAAGAATGAGATACGATTTACAATTTTAATTTATTTAGGAATTCATTATCTTTTTCTTGTTGGTGGTTTTGCTGAATCACCAATACTTCAACATGAAATTCGTCGAGCTTTTTCATCGATTCTTAAAGTGATCATTCCTCAAGATGTTTCATTATCGATATTAAAAGGTATTTATTTCAATTTAAAAATAAAATAGAATAATTCATATGATGTTGTTTTTTTTTTTTTTTTCGTAAGGTGCTGTTCTATTTGGACTTGATCCAACTATTGTTAATGTTCGTCGTTCACGTTTAACTTATGGAGTTTCTGTATTGAATCGTTTTGTTCCTGATTATCATTTAATTGAAAAGAAAATTATTAAAGATAATATTGAATGGTGTGCTGATATATTTGATAAATTTGTTCTTGTTGATCAATCAATTGGTCTTGGTGATACAGTTGTAAGAAAATATACACCAGCAAGACATAATCAAGCACAATGTATCATTTCATTTTATTGTTCAGAATCAGATAAACCAATGTATGTTACAGATCCAGGTGTAAGAAAAATTGGTAAATAATTTTTATTTTTTTTTTGTGAAATAAAAAAATTATATTAAATATTTTTAATTATTTCAATTAGGTACTCTAGTTCTTGATATGTTTAATGATGGATATATATCAACAAATCATCATAATTCTTCAATAATATCTAAAGAACGTCGACGTGAAATTCAAACACGTATGGTTTTTGGTGATACTGAAATAAAAGTTAGCGCACTTGATATTACTACTGGCAAATGTGTTCGAGCTACAATTGATTTTCTCAATAAATAATATTATCTGTTGATATACCTATATATATATATACATATACGCACATATTGACTAATAGTCAAATATTGATCAGTAGGATAATTATATCTTAAATTATTTTTTCTTTTCAATTCATGTCAGCATTATATATTAAAAAAAAATACCTTTGAACTTCTTTCTGTTTTTTTTTGTTATTTATGTGTTTCGCATCTTTAAATTTCTTGTCTTTTTTTTTTTGCATATACTTGAACATGAAATTTGCTTATTTCTTTTCTTTTTGTATTTACAAAAAAGAAATTATGTGTGTGTTATTCTTCCATATCGTATACAAGGAAAATTTGTGTTCTTTTTTATGCATATATATATATACATAGATATATATGTGCAATTGGTTGTGGTTCTTCTTGATTAGACGAAGTTTTATTTTACAAATCGAGGGAAGAATCTAATTTGAATAACGAAGAATTGTATATGCGCAAAGGAAGAATTAAAATATAGAATTTTATTTCACATTTTGACAGCGACAAGATTTGTATAGATACATAATCAGCTGTTTTTGACTATTCTTTTCGTTCGTTTTTATAGAACTCAAACATATTTTCAAAGAAAAATAATCAAGGGAAGTTTTAAGTTCAAATTTTTGCGGTTCCTTTCCTCCCTCTATTCATTACAGATCATAGCAACTATTATCTATTTCAAAATAGAAAAGTAGTGGATATTTTTTCAATAACTTCCGATAGAAATAAGATAGAGACTTGCGGTTCTCCCTGTTGAAAAGAGGAGATGAAGACGCATCGAGTCATGTATGACAGATTTTATTTCCAAGTGTTTTAAAAGTTCCTATTGAATCTTTTCAAAAATATGTGTACGTTTCGACTCGATTGGTACAGTAAATTGTCAAGAAAGTATAGCGAAAAAGTGAAATTTTCTTGAAAAATCAGAGACAAGCCCACAGTAAAATGCCTTTAGCTCCTGAACGTTACAATTTAAAAATCTGGGCCTTGTGTAGTTTTGTAGATATTCAATTGGCGGTTTTGATGCACTCCTAAAATTCGAAAATTGTCTGCGGTGACTGAGCGCGGTCATTAGTTTGCCCAAACCTCGATTAAAAAAACACTCAATAAAACTTGCCGAAAAAGTCAGTAGTATATGATTCGATGCGTCTTCATCTCCTCTTTCCAATAATGAAAACCGCATGTCAGCGTCTTCCTTCCATCGAAATTCATTAAAAATATACCCACTGTTCTTCTATTTTCAAATCGATAATAGTTGTAAATTTTGTCGAGTACTCTAGCTCGTGGGAAATATGTGCGTTCTACATTTCAGTCACAGAGAGGCTGCGTTGATAAGCTTTGTTTTTCTAACTTTGTTGTTCACTGATTATATTTTCACTGCATACTACAGCACAGTATACTCTATGTGCATAATAATCATTTGATTTATTCACAAGACAAAATAAAAAGAAAAAAACATCATAGGTAATAAATTCAATTTTCATGATCTTTATTCGTCGTTGAACCAGATATACAACATGAACTATTTTTCTCTTTTAGTACTATATTTTCTGCTTCTAATATAATGGATGGATTATTGTTTCTTGTCTGGCTGTTGTTAGTATTTCTTGTTTCACCAGTATTCTGTTTTAATTGATTCAATAAGAAACGATTATTCAATATACAAAGTACCAATTGATTAAACATTGCCTGTACATTTTTTCCTGTAATTGCCGATGTATAATATAAGGACAAATCATTATTGGTTGAAAATCGTTCTGCATCTTTAAATATTTGACTTTCTGAGTTGTTAGCCAAATCGATTTTATTGCACAATAATACACATTCGAATACATCGAAACCGTGTTTTTTTAATGCCGGATACCATGCATTTTCAATTTCTTTTAATGTATCAGGTCTAGTTACGTCAAACATAAGTATAGCACCATGACATTGATAGTGATTTCTCCATACATCCTTATGTTTAAGTTCACCTGGTAAATCGAATACACTTATTGAAACAGCATAACGATCTTCAAATAAACGATCTAAATGTAATTTTATACTATCAGGTCCAACTGTACGAACATAGTCCGTTTTTGATATACGATCTTGAAATCGTAAATGTTTAACAATTGTTGTTTTGCCAACACGTTCATCACCAAATACACATATTTTAATACGTAAGTTAGGATATTTTTGATTTTGAAACTCTTGTGGTAATGCTCCAGTTTTGATTACTAACGTATTTGATAATTTTTCACAGTATTGTGCTTTTATCTGTTTTTCACGAAATTCGTCTATAGCATTTTTTAAATTAATATTTACAATAAAATGTTTACTTTTTAAAACTTTATTTGTTATTGGTGATGTATTATGATTACGTAGCCAAATTTCTAATTCACGTTTTTCATAACTACGACCATCTTCAATTAATATAACAGGTAACTCCATAAGTTCATGTGTTATTGGACAAAGATAATCATTTGGTGTATTCATTGTCTTTTTTCCTTTAATGCAATTGTTTAAAAAAAAAACTAATGTTTACTCCTTTATGTATACCAAAAGTTGGATATCTCCAAGTAGATAGTTGCAAATTTGTTTGTCATGTTCTTTCTGTATATAATCATTATTTAAAATGGTAAATATTTATTTTCTTTCTCATGCTTGCTCTTGACTCAGGTACAGTGAAAACAAAGATTTATCGTCTATGACTCATAGTATGTTATCTTGTGACTGTTGTCTTTCGAGGACTATGTAATAGCATGTGATTTACGTTGAAATAGTTCTTTTTTCCACTAGCAGAAAAGCGTTCAACACTTCTATGTAAATCTTGGGTGTGACAAGCTACCATTGACGCTATAGATGTGTTTATATACAAATATTTAGAAACTAAGCAATGATACAACTATGATTTCGCATGTTGTTTAAAGTTTCATCATCGAATATGTTCGATATCTATAACAGTATATGGATCATGAAGTTCAGTCCGATTTGGCCTTTTAGGTTTTGATCAAGATTTGAAAGTGTCGGTGTAAATAGCAAGGAATTCGACATAGGAAACATTTACCATTTTTTTTTAGAATCGTATTGGAATGGATCATCTCAACACGGTGAACCAAATGATCATGGATATATATATGTTTTTAATTTTTGTAAAGGTGACAAAAAAAACAATTGCAAAATTAGTGTACAAAGTGGCCTGTCAATAGTTAGGGGATAAGAACTTTAAATATTTCCGCTAGATATTAATCCAACGAGTTGAAATTTTTGTCAGTAATATAGAATTGCTTTGCAGTGGTAGGGTAGTTCTATGGGACGACAACTAAAAAATACACAAAGTATTGAAAAATTTTCTTTTCATATCAGACTTGGTAGAAGTTTTTCCTCTGATTATTTTGGTAAAAAAACTTATGAATTACAATGTGTAATGACACTGTTATAGCCAAAGGACTGTAAAAAAATCACCAGATTCTGAATTACCTTGTTCTTTTCTTCATCCATATTCTTGTGAATTTTTTTTCTACAAGCTAGTCTAATGGGTTTCTTTATATGAACAAAGTCCCGGCCGAAATTCAAAACCACAATTTCGCTTGAAAGCTAGAGCCGTAGAGGAAAACCTACTAAAAACTCGAGATTTCAGTAACAAGGACCAAACCGTTCGAGTTACTCTAAGACTTTTACTTACTCATTCGATTAGATCGAATAAATATTGTTCCAGCTGACAGGCGATTTACTACTTATGAACGTTTTTAGTTATTAACTTGGCACATTACTATAATTACTGTGTACAATTAGTATCAATTCACATAATATCAGAACCTTGCTAATACTGCAAGAATCATCCCAGAATATTGCCAAATTTTGGTAATATGACCATGCGAATCAAAGTGATGCTTTATAATGATCATTACTACAAAGCGGATTCTAATAACAATAAATTATGATAGTTTTGAAAGATTTGTAGATTGTTCATTTAAATCAGTGGTTTTATCATAGTTAATAGAACATTTTATTTTCTTTATTCTAATTCAAGATTATCTAAACCGTTTTGTTATGCTCTTAACATTTCATTTCAGATTATTATTGAGATCTAACTCTTGATTGTGGCGCCATCTATTACTCGATTCTGTCTTTCTAATGATTATCTAGAAAGTTAAAACTGATTGTTACAAATTATTTATCAATATTTTTAACTTTTAGATAATAGTCGTCTACTTTTCACATGTTGTTGCTAAGTAACAATATTGAATTAAATTACAAATGAACGACATGGATTGAATTTTATGAGTAAATACTGTAAGTGTAATTCTTTTGTTTATAAAGTAATGAAATATGGTTACCTTAATGCAACAACAATCAATGATGCAAAATACAACATTAGAAACAATACCACAAAAACGTTTTCCTCTTGTACATGTTCTAACATCAAAAACGGAAAGTGATGAACTCAAGGTTCGATAATTTTCCATAATCAAAAATGTTTTTTTTTTTTTTTTTCTCTTAATTTCTTTTTTAAAAATATTTAGAAAGAAGAACCATTCAATTTTGAAAAGACCATCAAATTTCTTACCGATCCTCATTCAGTAAAATAAAATACATTTTACTATATAATAAATATCAAATTTCTGTTTGTTTTAAAGTCACATCTAATCGATCGACGTATACGTTTATGTCAAAAATTATGTCGACATTATCAAAATGGATTTGTAAATATAATTTTTTGTTTTTGTTTTTATTTCAAAAATTCATATCAATAAAATAAAAATCTTATTATAGACTGTTAAAGATTTACATTATTTTATGAAAATTTTCAATATACTTGGAGATCTTTGTCAACAACAACCAAATTATATTGATGTATTTATTCAAATATTACAAATTGCTTCAAAACCATTTCTATTAGATAAATCAACCGATGGAGAAATTTATTCATCAGCATTAGTTGCTTTTTATTCAGATTTTGGTAATGAATATTTTTTGTTTATTTATTTGATTTAGAGAATTTTTTTTTTTATTTAGGATATCTTCTTCGTATACCAATAAAACGTATTCAAAAATGTTTACTTGAAACACTTTTTAAATCAATTCAATTATCAAATAAATCACCATTACCTTCGAATGATTATGATGGATTAAAACCAACTACTATTGATTATATTCTTCGTATTCAACGTAATAGTGATCTTTGTGAAACACTTGTTAAAGTAAAGAAAAAAATTGAAATTTTTCTTTTTTGTAAAAACAAAAAATTTTTATTTTTTAGACACTTTCGTTAGTAGAAAATGATTTAACACTTCGTATTCTTATTATTAAATTATTACAAATTTTATCATTAAAATCACGTAAATAAAATTTTTATTCATAAAGAATTCTGTTTGATGATTAATTATTATTCTTTTTTTTACTGTCTAGCTGAATGTATAGCAAAAATGTTAACACATGATTGTGTCAATCGTTTAGTATTAAGAATGAATGATGCTGATTCATCGGGAGAGTAAGTTAAGAAAAAAAAAAACTTCTAATAAATATAAGAATTAAAATTTTAAACATGATGTAGTTTTTATGAAAATAAAAATTCAATTCAAATTCAACTGTTTAGTATTTTAATTTTTTGGACGTGAAAATATTTAGAAGTTTTCACTTTCGGTTTTCTATATTTTTACTTTCAACCAAAATTGAAGTAACGATCTATGAGAAGTTCGAATCATTACTTCTATATTTGATCATGTTTCGCAAGTGTCTCATATCCCCATTGATAAACGTAAGACTTACTGAACAATTAATCAGTCCATTTTTTCGGATGTCCTGTAGATAAAAATCCACTATTTTTAGTTGAATATAAATCCAAAAATCTTTACTCGTAAACGTATATGAAACTATTCATAAATTCGTTAATAAGCAGGGCTTAAATATTCTAACTTCTCAAAACTGCATTATTTAGAATTCGAAATGTTGTTAATGTCGTTCAATGTCTCTTTTTTCTGTTTCTAAAAGAGTCTGATATCCTCTTGTCCTTGGTTGCTATGGAAATGTATACAATGATTCTTAGTTTTCTCTCTCTCTCTCTCTTTATATGAGTGGCGAGCTAAAAAATCTAAACTTAAAAATTTATATTCATTATATTTTTCTTTAAAATTAATATTTAACTTGAAATTTTTTTTAGACTTTTATTTCGTACAATTGAATTACTTTGGAATTTATTTGAACATGGTGATGAAGAACAAATAAGTGAACAACTTAATTCTCGTGTTACTATAAGGTTTTGTTTTTTTCTTGTTTAGTTTTATTATAATAATAATAATTAATATTTAGTCTTTTACAAGAAGCATTTCTTGGTCAAGTAACACAAAGTCATAGTCAATATCATCGTCAATTAAGGTTTTTAATTTTCTTGTTTTTTGTTGTAAACATTATATAATTGATATATTTAGAAATGATATTCTTGTCGTTTGTTCTCTTATAATTAGTCTTAAACCAGATGCTCCATTTGTTGAAACTGGTTTTGCTAAACAATTACTTCTTTTTGCTTCATATCCTGAATGTAAATAAATTAAATTAAAGAAAAATTCTTATTTTTATAATAATTTATTTATTTATTATTTAGTACGAAGTAATAATCCATTAGTAAAAAATTTTAAATTAACAACATCACAAGAAGATTTTGAATTAAAAAAATTACTTTTCAATACAGTTGTTGTACTTAGTCGAAATCCTGCTACAAATGAAGTATATTATCTAATAGAATATTTCAAAAATTAGATATAGTTTTTTTTTTTTTTTCATAATTCGAAGAGTTTGATAGACTTCAAAATTCAAAAAATAAATTGATTTTTTTTTTGTTTTTTAGTTAATGATTGATAGTCGAGTATTACTTTCATTTTTATCTTATATTGAACCATTACCAAGAAAATCTCAACCAGGAAATGTATTTGAATGGACATTATCACAAACAGAAGATCTTCAATTACATGCTATTGCAGCTCTTTCAATTCTTTTACCACGATCATTAAATGAATATTTTGAATATCATGTTGGTACAAGACTTTTATTATTTTATGAATGGACAATTAATGATGGTAAAAATGAATTTTTTTTTTTTTTTGATCTATTTATTATTAATTAAAGAAAAAAAAAATGTTTTATTTTATAAGATGAATATCAAAGTCAAGGAAATAGTTTTTTTGGAAAAGGTGGCCGAAATAATAAACGATCACAATTAAAATCTATTTTTCGATTATTTCGTAGTCTTCTATCAATAAGAGATGAACGTGTACAAATGGATTTATGTGATCAAGGAATTATACCATCGATTACTGGTTGATAGAAAATATTTCAAATTTAATTTAAAAAAAAAAAATTTCTTTTTTTTGTTCTCTTATAAAGGATATTTAAGACGTGTTGGACAACAAAAATCAATTCATATAGATTATATTGATTTAGATATTATTTGTGATGGATTATTTATTTTAAGTTGTTTATGTGAATTAGATGTTCAT